CGAGATTTTGCGTTTCTACAGGGTTCCCAGGTGATGCACCAGGTGATGCAGCAGCTGCCGGTCCAGGGACCATGCTTTGAGAACTGCTGATGTGACCAGAGCGGGTTGTCTGCCCTGGCTGCCCACCTGGCTGCCCACCTGGCTGCCCACCTGGCTGCCCACCTGGCTGCGCACCAGAACCACCTGCAGGGATTGTCTTTCTCTTGCGAACTCAGCCAGCCTGCCTCCGGACCAGGTGACTCATTATCTCAGGGCTGAAGGCCAGTTGGTCAGTGCTTTTGGAAACCAACATCCAGACCACCTGGAGATCTTGTTAAAATGCAGGTCCAGTCCAGTGGGTCTGGGGTGGGGCCTGGGACTCTGCGAGCTACCAGGGTCCAAGGGGGTATGGAAGCTGCTGGCACTGGGACCGTACTGAGCCAAGGGAAAAGCCTTGGGTACTTTACGGACAGAATCGCTGCTGTGAATGGGAGTTCGACCCAGGGCCTTCTTCCCCCGGCCCGTCCCCTAGCTGCTAAGTTTGCATTTGACCGCGAATAACAGAAACCCCATCTAATAGCTTAGACAGGGGTTCGATCTCGCATAAGCCAAGGCCAGAGTTAGGTGGTTGCTGGGTGATTCGGTTGCCTATCGATGCCACCAGAGCTGTTAATGTGTTGGTTTGTCTTCCTGCGGCTCCCTCATGACCACGAGGTGGCTGCCGCAGTCCCAGACATTGCATGCATGGTCCACTCAGAAGAACAGCAGGCACGAGGCCTGAGGTTAGCACTCCACCTCTCTCAGAGAAGTGAAAGCTTTTTCAGAAACCCCACCCAGCAGATTTCTGCACTTTCTTGGACCAGCACCTTGTCGCTTGCCACCCCTAGCGGGAAGGGGTGAAGAATCGGTGTATGTGAATGACAGCCAGCCTGCCGACAGTCCATTCCACAGCCCAACAACCCTGCCAGCTCTCACACCTGGCCGGTGGAACCTTCTAGGCTACCTCTGTTCAGCCAGAGGTCCACGGGCTCAGCCCTGTGAACAGGCAGGTCGGTGACCTCGCTGATCCTTGCAGAGCGTGGGACCTAAGTTTGACCTCCATCGCTGGCACTTGTCATCTGTGACTCATGGTCTCTGAATCTTAAATTCAGGGTCGGCGCAGTGGGGCTTGGTACCACCTCACTGGGCTTCGTAAGGAGTCTCCAGAATAGCAGCCATCCCTGAGAAGCCCCCTCTGTGTGGGATGCCCCCCCGCCCGCCCCGGTTCTTCCTGGAGCAGCTCGCTCACGTCCCCAAGGTCCACCCCTGCTGAAGGGAGCCATCAGCCATCACGAGTGGAGCAGCCACGGGTTAGCACCCGGCAGCCTTGTCAGAGGGCCAGAGGGAGGCCAGGCAAGGGGCTGCATTGTCCAGGCACAACCCCGGGCGGGTTTACCAGCAGCCCTGTGACCAGCTGGCAGTGTGTGGGGCAGGCATGGGGGACAGCGCCCCACAGACTCGGGGATCCCGGTACTGGGGAACCAAGAGGTAAGCCGATCTGCCAGAGAGCCCTGAGGTTTCCTACGCCCCCCTTTTGTGTTTCAGTAGTGACGGCTGGCAGGGGTGTTGTGCGGTTTTTCTGCAGTCACGTCTCCGTGTTCGGCTCAATGATATGGAGGTGAGGGTAACTTGAAAAGAAAGGGCGTTATTGGTAAATGCGCTGGAAGCCTTGCAAATTTGAGAGGATAAATTGAAATTTTACAGGACTAATGAGTTTTTGAAAACTGTTAGCCAGCCTTGTCCAAACAGTTCTCTCCCTATTTAAGATTTTCTAAATTGGAAGCTCAGAAATTTGACTAGCTGTATTTGTCCTGGAATGAATAAACAGCCCAGGTAGACGGTGTGTTTCCATCACTGTATCTTGCTTCCATTGTAACCATCCTATGTTCTTATTGCAATTGACAGTCTGTTTAGAGCACCTGCTTTTTTAACCCAAATTTAGATACTTTGTAACCATCACAGGACTCAGTCCTTAAAAAAACACATGAATTCTAGGACTTTGCATCTCATTTTTTATGTACCACGGGCTCCTCCCTTCCCTCCGTTTCTGCTTCCTTCCTTCTCTCCGTCTCTCCCTCCTTTCTCCTTCCCTCTCTCCCTCCCTCCCTCCCTCCCTCCCTCCTTCCTGCCTTCCCTCCCTCTTTTCTTCCTTCAAGTCATTAGGCTGCTCAGTAAGGATTATAGGCTGAGGCTGTAAAGGCAGAAGTCTGTGGGTCTTAAGTGGGGCTCCAGTTTCCGGGTGTGATCGCAGGCACCGAGCCGCCCTCCGTGCTCGGTCCCCTCACCTGCGGGCCGGGCGTGGCCACAGCACCTGCTCCACAGGCTCCTTGTGACGCTCCCGTGGATGTCAGCGCCGTGCAGCGAGCACCACGCAGATGTTACGGGCCGTTCTGCGGCCCTCGCGTGAGCTTTTGCTCCGATGTTCACAAAGCTGCTTGCTTATCTCATCCTTACGAGTTTCACCGTTTCTGCGTCTCTTAATTGCATATTATTCTTTCAACATTTTGGGGGGGTGCGGCTTCTAAAGAAAGGCGCGTGTCCCTTCCTGTGGGAATTGTTTCTGGACTGAGATTTTTTGCAGTTCCTCAGGCAGGAGATTTATTAGGTGTGACAATGAGTAATTCCTATTCGAGTTTAAATCCATGGGAATAAACCTAAGGAGGTTTTAGTCGGGGGTGGGGGGGACTTCGCCAAATGCGTGCGTTACCCGAATGGTGGGCGGTTTTAGTGACGTCGCTTTGGGGTTATCCGTATGCGTGGGAAAGGCCATAAGGTACTTGGTTACAGGAGGAGGAAATGCAGCCATTTTGAAGGCGAGACACTGGTAAAGCATAAGCACCGGGGGCTCTTCCAGAGGTTTCGGAAGATGATTCATGAAGCACACGGGAAAGTGAGACGGTCTGGGGGCACCGTGACAGCATGAGAGGGCGCGCGGGGCTATGCGGGACGCGGAGACGCATCGCGGATGTGACGAGGGCTGGAGTGAGGGAGGGTGGTTACGGACAGGGCTTCCGTCCTGCCGAACGGTGCTAAGCTTTAAGCAGATACGAACCTTCAGAACCCTCATTTCCTAACTGGGTGGTGGGCGGCTGCATCTAGTGCTAACGGGCACAACGCCCTAACAAATTATGTCTTTCTACACACACAAAGGGAGGTGGCATAATTCTGTGACCGAGGAATTATAAACAGAAAACTCAGAAAGAGATACAGAATTGATTAATCGCCTCGACCATACCAGGCTGGCCCAAAACTAGACAAGTATCTGAGCAAATGCAAGCTTTTCGTATTTCAGAGAATCCAGGAGAAACACCAGCTTGTTGCGAATGGTGAAAGGGCGCCTGTGCCGAGTGCCTTTGTGAATGCGATTTTCCACCCGAGGCTTGCTTTCCCTCGGCGCTGTGAATCTCGCCCAACAGCGAAAAAGTCGCCGACGTCATCTAAAACTCTGTCTTTGGCAGAATGGGCACCTTCGGTTATTGAGGAAGATATACAATGAGTTTTGCAAACATTTGCACGATGGAGGCATTTAAGCGCGTTCTAGTTTCTGGAAATGAGAGCAGGACCAAAACCCTCTTTGTAAGGGTGAAATATGTGTCCGGTCCTGCAGCAAACGGTCCCGCCTAGCAAAGGTGCGTGTCGCCACCGTGGGGCCTCCGCAGAACAGGACTTGGGCCCGGGGAAGCGAGGGGACAGCTGAGTGAAGCAGTGACTCCAGGACTGTCACTGCTGGAAAACGTTTCTATTGCTCATGCCCGTGACTAAGAAGCATTTCTGCCCAAAGACGTGTCCCTTTGTGAGTTATGGTGACTGTAGGTCCCGAGAGAGCCCACCTGGCTCGTCAGCCACGCTCGCAGTGCACGTGGGCCAAGCTGTCGCCGGCCTGGCTGCCGCCTGTCCTGACTGCCACTGCTCCTGTCCCAGGCAGCCGCCGTCCTGGCACGGGGCAGGCGCTCAGGGCCACGAGGGCTCGTGTCGTCCTGCCTGACCGTTCTCGCCACTCCAGCCCGGTCACCTGCCACCCACAGAGGGAACTGTGGCCTCGCCCTCAGGAGCTGCTCTAAGAGGCAGGGCCGGCATGAAAGGCGAAGGCGCCCATTTGGCTCACGGTTTCACTCAGCCTGGGGCTAGCTTGTCACGGCCACACCCGAGCACAGTCCCCACCGGACTAAATAACTAAGTGGTTAATTAGCTAACGATTTTTCTGATAGGAACCAATGTCTATGATTAAACATGTACATTTTAAGCAGCCTCCAGGTGGGGCCCTATGGACCGCTGTGTGCTAAGTGCGCGGGGAAGGGTCCGACCAGACGCCCGGGGGCCCCCAGTGCTCCCCGACACCCGCCCCCCCCCCCCGCGTCCTCTGAAGCCCTCAGCAAGGCGGCCGGCCCGGGGAGGCCGGGGAGCAGCGGGATGTGAACTCCGGCCCAGGCACGCGGATGCACACGTGGCTGTCATGATCCGGGACGCCGAAAGGAGAGGAACCGCGAGGCCAGGCACACCAAAAGCCCGAAGCCACACATCCCTCCTCCGGGTGCTCTGGGGGCCGCCGAGGGCACAGGCACCCCCGGGCCGGCACCTGCGTGAGGGACGAGGAGCAAGCTCGTCACGTGCCGTGTGGCGAATGAAGGCCGAGCCGCCACACTGCCGCTCTGAGGCCCACTCTGAGTTCTGAGGTTCGGGATCCGGTGACGGGGCGAGAGGCCCACGTCACTGCTCCGCAGGGGACGGCCCACCCTCGTCACAGCTGCCAGGCCATTTCTGAGACGGTGACGGCGGGCACCCGCTCTCACCGACGGGCCTTTGCGGGGAGGTCCGACGCCTGCCGCTACCTGCGGCGCGGTCCCAGGTCGGGCGGTTCTGAATTCCAGGGGGTGGGGGGCAGCCAGGCCGCGGAGCTGGCAAAGCCACAGCGGGCTCGTCACGTGCCGTGTGGCGAGTGCTCCAGTTTCACTCGTTTGCGTGTCGATTTGGGGGACCCCAGACCTAGGTGTCACTGTCACTCATGGCTCTGGCTCAAGGACTGACCCAGGGCGCCCTGGAAGGCCTGGCGGGGGTGGGGCGCCCTTCGAGTCATGGCTTCGATACCTCTTCCCAGGGCCAGAGGTCAGCGCAGTGTGAGTCAGTGGCCTCTTGCCAGGCAGGGACACCCGGGCAGGGAGCCACGACGGACAGGCTGAGCCGGGCCCGGTCACACGCGTGGGAGGCACTCACGTCCAGGGCCCTGAGCCGTCCAGGGACAAAGGCTTCGTGCCATGGGGGCTGCTGCCCTGACGATGCAGGGCCGGCCACTGTGCACTTGGCGGCTCTGGCTGCACGGTGCCGCCTGCCCGGGGACGCACCGCGAGGGCGATGAGTCCCCAGATGCTGTCAACACTTCACTCTGAGTTTCCCCGTCAGTTGACGAAGGTCCTCGCGAGCCGCCGTGAGTCCTGGAAGCAGGAAACGGCCGCCCGCGCGGTCATGCACGTCTGCGGCGCCGAACCGCTGAGCGGCGGCAGCAGGACACGGCGTGTCGCCCTTCAGAGAGCTGCCAGGTCACGTGATGTGGCCACACGTGCGTGGCTGGGGTGTCCTGTCCCTCCCACGCCTCCCGACAGCCTTCCACCCAGAGTGACCACACCGGATGCGCTCATGTTGACCTGTGGCTTTTCTGTCGGACACGTGAATACACACGAGTTTTCCTTGGACGACGAGAGTGAACACCAGCCTGTGACCATCGATTTGTGCTCTGATGTCACAGGCTGTGGGACCGGCAGTCGGGACAGCGTCTGCCGCGTGATGCCCCAGTGCGCATCAGTTGGCCATTCATGTCTGTCCCCAAATGGCAGAGTCCTGTGAAAATAGTCTAACAGGTCCTGGAGAAGACAGCGGGGCGCAGCCCGGTACTGATGCGTATTAGACCCCGAAGCCCAAGCCGACGTCCTCTTCCCCTCCGGGGTTCCACGGGGCACTGAGGTGCCAGATGGGATGAGGAGCCCTGGGCCAGGCTCTGACGGGCGTCCAGGCTGAGACACCCAGGTAGGCCAGGCGGTAGATAAAGGCCCAGAGACTTTCGGGAATCTAGAAAAGCCCCCGTTCCCTGACATCCCCGAGACCCATGTCAGGATGTGGTCGCTGGGTCGGGCTGGGTTTAACCCCGAACAGCCTAAACGCCCTCTAGTTGTTTACCAGCGAGGGACTTGGAGGAGGCGATCGAGGGCCGTTAGCTTAGAAATATTCCCTGTGTCACCAAAGACAGAAGCCAGCAAACGCTGACGCGCGTGCGGGACGCTGGGGCAAGCTCGGCAGCCGGGCGAGATTCACGCCGAGAGCCCGGTGTGGCCGGCGTGCCGACTGGAAGCTCGCACCTGAAGGTCACCGGCCACGGTGCCGGCTCGCCTCGCCACTCGGGACTGTCGCTACAGTCGGATGAGCCAGAGCCATTTAGTGAGCTCCGCTGAGGACGATCCAGCTGCCTGCCTCTCCCTCAGCGCTAGGCTGTGGCTTCCAGAACTGTCACTATGAAATATAAAATACTTAGGGCCTCAAGAGCTGCTTTTAATTAAATCGCCAAGCTTCCCATTGGGGGTGCTCTGCAAATTATGCTGCTTCCTTTTTTATGTGAAATGAGCATTGTTCAGTGGGAAACGCCGTGAAATCCCGGACTCGGCGTCTGCCTGGCGGGCATGGACCTGGGAGCCACTCGAAGCCCCGCCACTGTGATCCTGAGCCCACGAGGGCACGGACAGGCCACCAACCGCGGTGTCCTTACCGCCGCCACGGGGCCTAGTGGCACAAGGCAGGTTCCCCGATGCAGGCCTCCAGCACCTTGTCGCCAAGTGATGGGAGGCTCGGAATCAGAGATGGGCCTGTGGTTTATTTCCTGGTGTAGCTGACCTGAACGGAAGCGAAGAGATTCATAGGCTGTACGTGTGCGCGCACATACACGTGCATGTGCGTGCATCCGTGTACATGTCCTCTGGCGTGAAGACCCGTGTGTCTGCAGACGTCTACGACCGACACGCCCCGAGAGGCTCCCGGAGGTGAGTGCAGAGCCTGCCGTGGGTACTGAGGTACTGTCTTCGGATCCGAAGGCCTCGGTGAGCGGACGGATGCCACGTGTCTGTGCGCTGCAGATGCTGCTGCTCTCGACGCGGCCTGCGGGTCCAGGCAGCTCCTGGGCGCAGCCCAGCAGGCGTCTCACCAACGCTGGGAGCAGAGCCCGAACCTCATGCAGGAGCGCGGTTGGGAGCGGCCAGGACCACCCTGGACAACGGGTCTGGAGCCTCGCTGACTGTTCGGGCGAGTGACAGAGCTCGACTGACCAAGACAGTGCAGGCTCAGCACGCAGACCGTGGGACCCAGACGGAGGGCCAGGCTCACGCGTGCCACTGGGGACGCCCGCCTTGCGGCCGAAGCTCGCTCATTTGGATGGCCATGTGTGGAAACTTGAAACGGTCTCTGCACCACCCCACACTGAAGAGGAATTTTCACTCAAAAGGCGAATCAGCTCTCTGTTCTGCTTCTGTAGATAAGCCTGCTGCATGGGCGGTACTCGAAATTAACTAAAGACTCACCCTCCCTTTGCTTGTTCTGTCTAAGCAAGAATGTAACTGTTTGTGCCCCCTAGCAACTCCCATGCTTTGTAACAGTCATAACTGCTAGTAACCCATAGCAACTCAGGCCCTTTGTAACGCAATGTAACTACCTGCAACTATAGTAACTCCCACCGATTTGTAACAAATTAACCAATCAGCTCATGCCCAATAAGTTCTATATAAGGAATGTTACACCTGAAGACCCAGATCTTCAGAGCACTAGCTCCTCTGGGACCGTGTAATAAACCAGAGTTCTCCAACTCTCGGAGTCCTGCTTGGTTTCTCATCTGTCTGATTTTTGCAACTTTTCTGCAACAATACCAAGAAAAAGATCGGGCCAGGTGAACTGTAGACCCAGTGGGAAAGGTAAACTGAAAAAGCTTCTAGAAAGGTACGTAGAATAAAATGCCTTTATGGGCTAAGAGCGGATTTTTCCAAACAACATAAAAATGACCAACTAAAAAGGGGAAAAGTGGGTCTTGTTAGGAACCTCTGTTGGAGGGTGTAAGGGGCTGAGTGGGCAGCTGGGGTGTGAGATGCCCAGACACAGAACCGGACGCGGGGCTGGGGCACGCGCAGACACCCTTCCCCTCAGCCTCTGGCTGGGGACAGCCAGGCCCTGGACATCACATACGGAAGAGCCTGGGGGCTGTGAGTGTGGCCTCTGCAACTCTGCGTGCTCTCTCTGTGACCTCACTGGCCCGGGGAACAAATGTGTGACGTGCGAGCAAATTCTGTGGCAAAAAGGCGGCTTGCAGCTCCCGGTCCCCAGGGCCTTGTGCAAACGCTTGCCAGCTACGTAACAGTGACCAGCGCCCACCTCCATTCACACTTCAGCTTACTTACTTATAAAAAACATTCAAGAATAATAAAATGAGGCGAGTGGGAACTTGGTGACTTCCTCTACCGCCACCAGGCCATGGTGCCTGTGTGGATGTAAAGATGCCTAAGTCACCTTTCCGTGGCTCATTCCAGCCCCACACCCACACGTCACTAGGTGCCCAAACTGCCACACGGAAGGGTGCCTTTCATGGGCATGGATGCCACATTTGTACCTGGGTGTCTGTTGATGTCACAAGGAGAGCCCGGCCCCTCTTCCGGTCAGTTCAGCTGGTCACGGTTGTCAACCCCTGGCCCCCTGCTGTTTGTTTAAGAGCTTCACTTACCTGCATGCATGTAGCCAGGGAGGGATAGGACGAATGGATGAGGACGACTCCAGGGTTTGTCACTGGCCCCGAGCCGCCTGCGGCCACAGGTTGGACACAGGTCACCATCTGCCTCGGAGAGTTCCGTCTCCATGAGCACAGGCCTCCGCACCGTGCCCCACACCAGGGCGGCCACGTGCCACCGCTTCCGGGTGGCCCTCCTCCCCGCTGAGGCCCCTCCTGGCCGCCTCGGTACGTGGCCTCAGAAAAGGGGCCTTTACAGTCTCTGTGTTCCTCACGAGTGTCTGCATTTTAAATTTTATTCTTAAGTGTGAAACTTAAAAAGCGAATTTACCCTCAATTAAATTTTATGTTAAAAGGTTTTTTGTTCTGATGTTCATACCTGCTCATTGTAGAATGTGAGGCACATATAAATGAACAGAAAAAGAGAGTCGCCTCAAATCCCTCTGTGGTGGCCGTCGCTTACGGACACGGTCGCACGTTTCCGCCTGGTCCTTTTGGAGCACACGCATCACTCCGTCCGAGCCCACGCGCACACGGACCGGGGAGGTCTCCTGCGGGAACGTAGTGACTCTGGTTTTGAAAGTGGGGGCTGCTGCCCGGCCGTTCGATGCTAATCGTTGCCGTGGGATCTTTTGAGGCGCAGGCATCAGGGATCCCCAAGATCCCCCCGGGCACCATGAAGGTCACGGTTTCGTGTGGGCTCCGTGAAGAGCTGACTCGACCACAACGGTTAACGCGCTTGTGTGGTTCCCGTGGGGCCAAAAACAGAGAGTGCGGTGGCCTCCCCGGCTCCCTGGAGCATGTTCAGGTATTTAAGAGGAAGCCGCAGCTGTGTGCAGAGGTGTATTTGCTCAGCTTCTATAAATACGCTTGACGGTCATCGTTCTGTCCACAGGTGTTTGAGTCGGTCCTTGCAAACATGTTGTGATGTATGAGTCCCGTATTTAATTACGTGAGAAATCGGTTGACACAGCACGGGCTCTCGCTACAAAAGCTTTTAGTGCGACTTTCTCGGGGCCTGGGTTTTTTTTTTTTTCCCCACACATGTTTTTTCTCTTGAGAAGGAAAGAGTCGTTGACATGTGATATTGTGTATTTTTAATACACTGAGAGATGATGTGGGTGCTGGTCCATGTCCTGCAGCCATTGGTTTGGGCTGGGAACAGGCGAGCACCCCGTTGAGGCCGGTGTGGGGGGCGGACAGGCTGGGCAGGGCAAGGGAGTGTCCCCACTGGGAGCCGCGCCCTCTGCTCTGGCCCCCACCCCATTTAATGGAGCGGTCCTTCACACGATTCAGTGGACGGAATCAAAGGGCGATCTGAATTTATTCCGGGCAATTTCTCCTTTTGTTCTTCTTAATTCATGAGTATTAATATTCCTTAGTGAGGATTTTGCATTTCGGTTTTATTATTTTTGAGGGCGCTCTGCTTCCCTCCTTCCCGCCGTGTCAGAGTGTGAGTGAACCCTAAGTCGCAGAGTAGTCACAAAGTGTGTTAGCAACTTTTCAGAAGGGGCCGGGGGCCGGGGGAGGCTCGCAGGGGACCCGCATAGCAGTGGGCGTCGCTGTGGTCGCAGGCTGCTGTGGATGCCGGCACAGCACAGTTGTTACGTCTGTTTCACTCCCTGACTTGCCATCTGTCTCATCTAAGGCGGTCCTGAGGTGTGGCCCGATTCTTAGCCTACGAATATCTGAGCCAAAGAAATGCAGACAAGGGCTGCCTTCGAGGAGAGCTGGCAGGAAGGCCGCGTGGACACGTCGTGACGGTCCCTGGGTCAACCCGCCTGAGCCACCGTGCCGGGCGCCGTGCCTTGCCAGCAGCATGGTCCTTTAACTCACTCCCGCACCTTTTGAGGTCAGTACTGTTATGACACCCATTCTTTGGGTGAGGAAACCGGTACTGAGTCGAAAGCTTGCTCAGGACCTTAGGTGGGGGGAGGGGGAAAGGGGGAAAATGGGATTGGGGGGGAACTTAACCCCAGGCACCTGCTCCAGGGCATGACTCCTACACTCTGGCTATGTTTATGTCTAAAATTTAACGGAGGCATCGCCGCACCTTCCGACACCTCTGAGAGCAAATTCATCATACTCTCGGTTGGGTGTTGAGCTTGACAGTCAAAATTTTTTGCCAAAAATTTGCAGAAGGAAGAGTTATTAATAAAGAGTAACGAATGTGTTAATAACAATAAACATCTGTGTAGCGTGCTTTCACAAAACAAAGTGCGTGGGAAGGCGGAGGTTGCTGGAGCGTCTTCCAGTACGGGGGCAGCTTGGGGTGTCCTCCACGCAGGCAGCACCCACCAGCGGCTCCCTAATGGGGCACACAACAGAGAACGCCCCAGGGCTTTTGTTGGATGTAAGAAGTCCTGCCGTGGAGGGTGGCTGAACACTGGATGTGTCTTCACAGCGAACTGTTCCTCTTTCAGATGCTCTGCTGCTGTCGGCCGTGGGGCTGGGAGGGTATCAGCCGGCTGCCCGCACACGGGGCTGGGCCCCGGGAGGCAAACTCTAAGGCCCATTCTAATTTTTACAGACGACAACTGCTAATTTTAGACTTTCCGAAAACCCCAGAGGAGAAGAATTTAAGCATTTGGCTTATTCTATTAAAATAAAATCAGAAATACTCCGACTCTAATACAGGAAACATATCCAGAACTAATACAGAAAATTAACGGGACAAAAGCTAGCATTTGAGTAAACAAGAACCGTGAGAAGCCGACCATGCTGGGCGTGAGGGGCCTGGCCGCGATCCGGCTCCGCGCTGGGCGTTGGTGCCGGCGGCAGCGGGCGGAGGAGGGTAGAAGTTTCACAGTGTCACGTAACAAGCATTTGTCAAGTGTTTAAGGTGAGTGAGACCTGGTTCTCACCAGCGTAAACCGAGGGGAACAGGACACAGCGAGCAGAGTGTGGATTTGGCTGGGTTGGGGCGGTCGCCCAGAGCCATGGGGTTCAGAGCAGAAAGAGGTCCAGTCGGGAGGACCCCACACGGCGTCCCGGGCAGTGCGGGCCACACCGGGGCGCCGCGGACGGACTCCTAGACCACGGACGTGTGGTCCCCCCGTTCTGGGGCTGGAGGGCCAAGGCCTGGGCAGGTCCCTGTCTGGGGAGGGCTGACCCTCTGCTTCACAGACGCCGCCTTCCCGCTGCGTCTCGCAGGGCAGGCGGAGGCGCAGGCTCCCGTGCCCTTCGAGAGGGCACCAACCCCAAGGGGGCTGCACTCACGACCTAGTCACCCCCACGCCCACCTTGAGGACTAGGTTTCAGCATGCGGTCGAGGGGCACAAACAGTCAGTCTGCAGCACAGGATACTCGTGAAGGTGGTGGCATTCGAAAGGGGCCTTGGGTTGCGATCCTAGCAGCGGCTGGGGTGGGAAGGGCCGAGCACTGCGTGCAGGGACGCTGGGTTTGAGGCGGAGCTGGAGACACGAGGAGGTTTGCGGGAGGGCAGGCAAACGGAGGCAGGTGTGGGGCTCAGGCGGCCGAGGGCTTCTCCCCACGCCTTCAGCGGCACCACAGCCCCTCACAGTCAGCCTGCGACCCCACACACTGGCCTTGACGCAGTTTGAAGCTTGGACTCAGCATGTGAACCTACTGCTTAGATTGGTGTTTATAATGTAAAAT